GTCTTCTCGCTCACACCTGTGCCTTGTTCTTCCCCCTATCCCCTGCTGTGTCTATATTAGTTTGTCAGTTCTCAGCGCCCGCTCAGAAATTAATGCCGCTACCACCGTGCTTTCTTGTTAAGAGTCTGCATCTCAGCTTTGTCACCGTGTGCAGTTTAGTTTGCAATCCTTGTCCTGAGCATTGTCTTCCAATTCTCCTGTGTGTTGGTTTTGGACTTTTTTGGAATCTGTTATGACAGTCCTCAGCACTTTTGTTTTAAGGACAACGATCATAATAACATGTTACTATGCAGACTTAGAATTCACAAATTTTTTTTACATGCTATTTTAAATGTGACCCTCATTTGCATGCCCCAACCTGTGCAGCAGAAGGAGCAGTGATACATGTCCGGACCCAGAACACTGCACACGAAAAACAGCTATGGAAAGATGAGACACATTACAAAGTAAACCTTGTAAGCAACCCTAAATGTCTTTTAACCACTTGACCTCAAAGGTTTTACCCCCGTCATGACCAGACCATTTTTTATTGTTCAGCACTGCACTACTTTAACCACTTCCTGACTACACTATAGCCGAATGACGGCTACAACGCGGTCGTCCAGCTCTGGGAGGACGTCATATGACATCCTCCCAGAACGCACTCCCCCAGCGGTACGCACCCGGCACTTTCGGTCCTTTGGGCACAGTTGATCACATGGCATGGACAATGGCCAATCACAGCAGCCTTTTACCATGTGATCAGCTGTGTACAGTAACAGCTGATCACCATATAAACACACTTGCCGATTATCGGCAGTACTTTCCTCACAGCACGAGGAAAGTATTGACGATACCCGGCAACTGTGAGTATAGACATCTACACTGATAATCAGGGCATTGATTATCAGTGCAGCCCCAAATGTGCCTATCACTGCTGCCAATCTGTGTCTATCAATGCCACCTATCAGTGCCCATCAGTCCCTCCCCATCAATGCGCATCAGTGCAGACTCATCAATGCACATCAATGAAGGAAAAAAATTACCTGTTTGCAAAATTTTAGAAAAACTTTTTTTTTTTCCCCAAAAAAATATTTTTTATTTTTTCATTTGTTTAGCAAAAAATAAAATACCCAACTGTGAATAAATACCACCAAAAGAAAGCTCTATTTGTGTGAAAAAAAAACATTTTTGATACATCAGTCTTTCCTATACAGAGGGGAACTTGCGAAGGATGCCCATTGTCTCCACTTTCATTTATCTTGGTACTGGAGCCCCTGGCTGAAGTGATTCATGTCCACCCAGATATCAAGGGAAACATAGTGGCAGGCACCTCCCATAAATTGTCATTATTTGCTGACTTCACTCAGAATTTCATTACCGAACTTATTCTCCGGCTTGGACACTTTAGCTTCGCTATCCAGTCTCTGTGTTAACCCTATCAAGTCCAGGGCCATGTCTCAACCTTTCACCTTCTGAACTGGCTGATCTGAAAGGATCCTTCCCTTTTCAATGGCTTACTGCCTTACCATATTTAGGTGTTTGGCTTACCCCATCTTACGAAAGACTCTACCAGGCTAATTATCCTCCTCTGTTTAAAACATTGAGTGAGCTGTTGTCCTCATGGACCCATTTTCCACTGTCCTGGTTTGGTAGGATAACCAGGATGCAGTCTGTATGTCTTACCTACCATCTAGCATCTTGCTATATGTTTTTTGAGTCCTACCAGATCCAGTTCCCCCTCATTTTATGCATACACAACGTAAATGATTAAATTCATTTGGGGATCTTCCAGACCTAGAATCGACAAACAAGTATGGTTTGCTCATAAAATCAACAGGGGTCTCTCGGTTCCGAACCTTCAGGCCTATTATCTGGTGGCCACTATTGCCCCTTTGACCCATCTACATGAGACCCACCATCTTCTACTATGGGCTACTATAGATCTATTGGACTCCCACCCCATACCTTTATGTTCCTTACCTTGGCTTCCTGCTCTACATCTCCCACCAATTAACCCAATTCCATTACACACTCTCCGAATGTGGGACTCTATCAAATGCTCAGCGAGTTTGATCTCGTCCCACTTACCATTATTGCAGATCCTCTGGTGTCCACTGTTTCCCCTGGCTTTTAACAATCCAAGACAATTTTTTTGGTGGAATGACCACGGATTTCATGACATACACTCTCTCCTTACCCCTACTAGACCCCTCACATTTGATGCCCTCCTATGTTAACATTACATCCTGCTACGGGAGTATTACAGATACCTTCAACTCCGCCACTTTCTATCTCAGTTTCTTAGATCTCAGTCCACTCTCTATACATTCTCCCCTCTTTGAGAGTCTATGTAGGGCACGACCTCGTTCTCCAGGCCTTATTTCACTGATCTACTCTTCAATAATAACTTCTAAAAAACCTCCACTAAGACCATTTCACGAGCAATGTGACTGGCAGATCATGACATTAGCAATAAATAAAAACTCTAACAATGTGCTCACACTGGAAAACTCTCATAAGATCTTATACAGATGGTATTGCATGCCAGTTAGGCTGGCATGCTTTATCGCAGCCTACTCGCCAAACTGCTTTCAAGGATGCTCACAGTGAGGCACAATGGCCCACATTTGGTGGTCCTGCCCGGGGGGGAGCAGGCTTTGGGCTAGGGTCTATGCATTACTATGCACCCTGCAGCACACAGATTTTAAGAGGGATCCCTATGAGGCCCTTCTCTGTGATCTGATTGCAGAACTGATTCGCCCTGAATGACAATTGCAATGCACCTTTTTACTGCGACCAAATTGACCATAGCCAAAGCTGGAAAACCCAGATTCTCAGCTATAAAGTTAAAACTGCATGAATGAAATTGTGGTGAATTAAAAATTAACGGCCATACTATCGCATACCCATGAGAAATTTCTTTGAGTCTGACAACCCTGGATAGCTCATGCTCAGCCATCTCGATTTGACACTTTTATCACTCTAACAGCCTGGCGCTGCAGACCCCTGGGACTCCTTTATCTCCACCTACCTACACTTATTTTTTCTTGGTTCTTCTTGCTCTTTTTCTCTCCACTCGCCTTTTGATCAGTTAATGAGACTGCCTGGTAGCTGGCCATGACAGTCACAACATATGCAACTTTGGATCACACAACTGTTTTAAGTTTCATCACCCAATATTCTATAATTTATGTAACTGCCATACTGATGGCTCTGTCTGTTTGACTGAATATTGACAATACAAACCTTTTTGTAAAGAAAAAATTATATGGTTACCGTGTTGCATGATCGCACAATTGTCATTCAAAAGTTCGACAGCACTGAAAGCTGAAAATTGGCCTGGGCGAGAAGGGGGTAAAAGTGCCCAGTAGGCAAGTGGTTAGCTGGCAATTGCACGGTCATACACTGTACCCAAATAAAATGTATATATTTTTTTCCAGACAAATAGAGCTTTCTTTTCGTGATATTTGGTCACCACTGGGTTTTTTTTTTTTTATTATATAAAAAAAAAAGACCTAAAATTTAGAAAAACTGTATTTTCCCATTTCTGTTATAAAACATCTAATAAAATATCTTCATAAATTTAGGCCCAAATGTATTCTGCTTCATATGTGGTAAAAAAAATCACAAGTTTATATTTCATTGGTTTGTGTACAAATTATAGCATCTACAAACTATGGTATATATTATTATAGTATATATATATCATATTATTATAAGCGTAGCACATTTTTAATTACAATTTATTTATTTATTTTTCGCTGTGAGCAAAACACCAAAAATGCACGCTGGCTTTTTAGTTTTTCTTTTGTAGGTGTCCTTTTATCATGCAGCGGTAAATGACCGCTGCTCAGTTATCCGGCATTCTCAGAGGAAAGAGTTCTCTGAATTCCTTTTTATGAAGCAGTGTAGATTGCTTCTCCGAATGAAGAGAGAAGCGATCTACAAACGCTTTGAACGCTATAAAGTGGCTGCTGTTACTATAATCTTGCGAGATGACAGTAAGAGATCAAACACAGTTTACTAAGCAGCGGTAAATTATCGCTGCTTCGTTTGCGGTTCCCCAGATTCTCCACCTCTGGGCTGGAGGAAGAACACACTTCGCCAGTGAAGGGCTGACATCGCTCCTTCATACACTGGCCATCTGTATGCTGAGATGATCAGTGGAGAACATATTCTCCACTGATCATCTGTTTCCTAAACCACTAATGATCGGAGATCAGCAATGATCCTCAGGATCGCCGCTGATCTCTGTTTCATAAAAGGACATCTTAATTTGTATATACACTGATACAGTGCTGTGATAAAGACATGCGGGTTATATGTTCACCAGGATGAGGCGCTGTGCCCCTCAAAGGACGATAGGGAAAATAGAATTTTTGTATTCAACGCAGCATTCTTTTCTATAGGACACAGCACTGCAATAAAAGACCCATAGGTGGCAGTATAACCCAGAAGTCTTTACTGCAGCACTGTGATCCTCTGTGATTGAGAAAACAAATGTATTGGAAGGAGAGGTATATTTTGGGTAAAAACCAAGTACACAAAATGAATACAAGTATTTTTTAATAATTTTTATTGAAGTGCAGTTTGTATTTATTATAGCAATGGTTATCTATTCAAATGCTATTTTAAGCCTTACACAAGACAAACTCGTATGTATTGACAAAAGTAGCTTTATTTGCTTCTATTGTACAGGGCCTCTACACAGAGGTCAGACTATATTTAGCGGAGTACGGCATGCCTGTTCAGTTTAGTTTTACAAATAACAGTCTGAACAGATAGTTCATATCGCTGATGCACAATGGAGAAGATGCCTCTGTCATTGACAATAACAGTGTTGCTGCAAGAGAGCATCAGTCATAGTGCATTGTAAAATATGGAACCATAATGTACCTAAAAGGATTACGTTTCTTGTTTGTATAGTCATGTCAGTTCTGTAAAAATCTTCTCTATGTTGCACGTGACAATGCCTGCAGAAAGGCGTGCAATAACAGTGAGAGGTCATCTACTGGTAATTAATTCTTCTGATAATAATACCACTTGTCCACTGTATACAGCATGGAAAGAAAAGAAATCAGGGGGGGGGGATGGAGAAAAAGAAGAAAATGTTAATCATCTTTACAGGCGGAAAAATAACTGATAATCTTATTGTACAAATGCTACTGGAATCTTTCACAGACCGGCATATGAAAATTAGATTGCTTCATCCCCATAATAAGTGGTTCATATTTAAAATGATGTATAGACTAAATCATTATGATTATTTGCATTACAAAAAAGGTACATGCTGTGTGATGTTTTTCCTAACAGAACATCGAGAACCCAAGACATTTACTTAAATGTAGTTATTAGTGGTTTTGCATTCAAGGCATTATGCTCAAAGGGATTTGATAAGCTAGACTGGAAGGCTAGAAAAATTAAATAAAATGTGTGTGCATTACCATGGGGGAGAATTACTAAAATTAGAGTACAAAATCTATTGCAGTTCTGCATAGAAATCAGCTTTCAGGTTTTATCATCAAAACCTAATTAAACAAGCTGAAGTAAGAAGCTGATTGGCTACCATGCGCTGCTGCCCCCAATTCTGAGTGCATCAGTTTTAGTAAATCCCCCCCCCATGTGTTTTGCTGGCTTGGTTGAAAATCAGTATTGCTTAGCTGGAAACGTCTTTGAAATAGACTAAATATAGGACAATGGAGGCACCCCATCAGTAAATGTATTATCCAACAGAGGCTTAAACAGTTGTAATCTAAATGTCTGGGATCTGATTCCCACATTCAAGCCATGCAGACTAAATGTGGCAGAAGGAAGTTTAAAGTTTTGTCAACAGCATCCATCTCCATATTATTATTATTATTACTATTATACAGGATTTCTATAGCGCCAACAATTTGTGCAGCGCTTTACAATATAAGGGAGACAGTACAATTACAATACATTTCAGTACAGAAGGAATATGAGGGCCTGGCTCGTGGAGCTTACAATCTAAAGGAAGGGGGAGGTGATACAAAAGGTGATAGCTGCGGGGGATGATCTGGTGGAGGTGATTCAAGTACAGTTCTTAGGTGGAGGTGGGGTAGGCTTCCCTGAAGAAGTGAGTTTTCAAAGATCACCTAAAGGCAGACAGGGTGGGGGCTGACCGGACATGCTGTGGTAGGAGTTCCAGAGGATGGGAGAGGCTCTGGAGAAGTCCTGGAGGCGAGCATGGGAGGAGGTGATGAGGGAGCAAGAGAGGAGGATATCATGGGGGGAACAGAGTGGGCAATTTTGGTGGTATCTGTGGGTGAGGTTGGCAATGTAGCTAGGGGCAGTGTTGTGGATGGCTTTATAAGCTGTGGCTAGTATTTTGAATTTTATACGTTGGGTTAGTGGAAGCCAGTGAAGGGATTGGCAGAGAGGGGCAGCAGTCGTTGATCGATTGGTAAGGTGTATGAGTCTTGCAGCAGCATTCATAATAGACTGAAGGGGGGATAGCCTCTGCTCCCCTATCGCCAACCATGCTCTCCTATCAGCAGCAGTGATAGTGCTGGTCTAGCAACAAATGTGGATTGTTAAGACTGCACAGGACCTAATGGCAAACACCCTTTCAGAACGCCTGGCCACTTTGCAAGGGGCTGGACAACATTGGAAGTTGCTCAGCTCAGCAGTTGACTTGAGGCTGCAGGCAAAATGGTAGCTTTGGCACCAGACTGTGTTGTGAATCCCTCGAAGACTGCAAGGGTTTGCTTGTCAGTTCTAAGAATACAGGAATAGGCTGTAATATTTTCAGGGATTAGAAAAAAAAAATCAAAACACTGCATGATTTGCAGGTGTGAAAGTGATGACATGTTTTGCGCTGAAAGCGGAAGTAATATAACACTCTTTTGCTTCCGCTGTGTGATGAGACTCCTAGCGAACAGTGGGAAGCCTCACTTTCGTCATTCATTGTGTGCGTTGCTAGTAATACGGAGTCCTGTCAGAGCTTACTGAGCTTCAAAGAAGGCAAATTGTTGGTGCCCATCACCTTACCCATAGCCTGCCCACACTTTCTCCAGGTAGTCTAAGGTCCTGGCCACTGACTTGGATGGATGATGGCTCTTAGCAGTTGAAGTCCTAACAGCCATAACCATTTCAAGAATTATTTTTGCATGATGTCAAGGGGATGCAGAAGGAACTACTTTTAAATTAGTTGCCCAGTTACCTTAGACTTCTGCTTTAATTAAATACAATCTGTAAAATGACCCAGTAGCAAAACCCACACCTTGAATGAGAAATTGTATATTTAAAACTCTTATTTCCTGTATTTATCTATTACCAGCATATATCATGCAGCATTTTACAGGTTACACAGAAACCTTGAGCCCCCACATGAGAGGAATTTACATATAAATAACATATAAGTGTATGTAAATTTTTTCTGTTAGCCAGACACTAAAAGGAACCAGACTGATCTTGCCAAACTGTATTAGAAAACGAGATGTAAAAATGGGTACACATACCATCTCCTGGGAGAGACTTTGCAGGTCCACATGGAGGGGTCTAAAATGAATTGGGAAAATAGAACAACGTTTGAGAATTTTAAATCACAGAAATTCTCTAACTCTGTTTATGAAACCTTGGCACAAAAAGGTTGAGAGTTTTTTCTCCCTACTGGTCTGCTGCGTATGTCTGTGTGCCGTAAGTGCACTACAACTTTCATTTTCCAGCATTAGCTGCCTCTTTCTGATACATACAAAGCACCCAAACCCTGTGGGATGATACCAAACATAATGGTTGAGGACTGAGAGCAGAGATGTCAACCAATAGAACAATTAACAAGATAATCAGGTTCCTTATTTACCTATTCGAATAGAGAAAAACTACTCCATTAGAGCCAAGGTGGGACAGCGAAATAGTTGCTGTGATTCTATCAGCAGAATATACAGACTTAGAACAGTTTTCTCTCATTAGTCAACAAAGCCAATGGGTTTGCATGCCTTACAGGCAAAAAATAATTGCTTGCAAGAGAACAGCATGATTACTCTGTCCTGTCATCAATGATACCAGCTTCACTAATGGGGAAAAACTAGCTAGGACATTGGTGGAGAGAGAAAAAATGTAGAAGTCACTCAGACATTTATATCTTATTTTATATATTAGGCATGCAATTAGCTTCCTGTATTTAGTTGAAAATAAAAACAACTGATTTCAATTTCCTTGTAGACCATTTGTGCAGACAGAGATAGATGGATGTTTATTCATTATTAAAAATAATAATTTGTTAACATTGTACAGCAGGCTCATCCACTATAACAGTCCAGGTGGAAGGAAATTGGACACTTCTCCACAGATAAATACTGTTTTGCTATACTATCTACTAGTTTTCATCAATTACATTTCACGGAGAATGGAAATCTGATTTAACATGCAGGCTATTCCATCACTGAGATTGTGCTCTATAATTTGCTACATAAGAATTAAAATGAAATCAGCAGACTATTGTAATACAGTTTCCGGATATGGACACACATACCATATATAAACACGGCAGCAAGCATGCTTATCTATCCATTTTTCATTGCTCCAATAGAATAGTGCGATAGTGTTTAATCTGCTTTAAAAAGGGACCCTACTGCTATATTAAACAAGCAAACCAAAGCAAAAAAGTATAAAGTTATCAACATCAGACAATGCTGCTCAATACCTGAGAAATGATCTACAACTTCTACTGGTAAACAGACACTTCCGGAGTGTTGAACTCCTGGTCATTCTCAGCTTCCACCCATTTCTCTCGTTGACCTCTATGTTGTTAGTAGTGACAGTAGTGGTGTGGAGGGCAGTAGGTAGAACACAAAGATGGACATTTCTGTAAGTGTCTGTTCCAAAGTTTACTTCAGGAACCATTTTCATGACAACACAGCATTTGGAGGAGTGAGCAGCTGGAGATGTACAGTATGTGTGCACACTCTTATTTTACAGGAATAGCTTAAAGGATAAGTTTACCTTTGGAAACATGTTACATGGTCCACCCATTTTTAGGGTGGAACATGTAACATGTTCCCATAGCCACAGCCGCACCCCCTCCACCCATCCCTCTGACAGATAGTACATGGAAACCTCTCTCCGTACTATCAAATTTGAAAACAGTGTGGCCGTGCGGCCTCCTTGTAAAAATAGCAGTTGCCTGGCTTCGATACTTCGGCTTCAATACTTTGGAATACATGGTTCCTAATAAAACCGTTACAAATATGGCTTTGCTAATCTCCAGCTACATAATGGGTGACATTTACTAAAACTGAAGAGTGCGCAATCTCGTGCAACTTTGCATAGAAACCAGGTTTTATTTTTCAAAACTACTTTCATTTAACATTCCAACTTTCTGGCTTTAAGAAATACTTAAAATGTTACTTGAGGTGATTGTAGCCGTATTAGTGCATTTGCGACAGAAACAATTGAGTACTGTCCGTGATACTTTTTTTATTTGCACTAACATACAATTTTGAGGACAAGCTTTCGGGGAGTGTCCCCTTCTTCAAGGTCTAAGCAGTACTATTAAAAATCACAAAGTTTAAGCAGAATGTTAGAATGGATTGAGAGAAAAAAAAGGCTACAGATAAGATGCTAAACCCAGAACCCTGCATTCACTATATCTGGTCTCCCACAGTACACAGAACATGGAAGTGCAATTATTTTAGTAAATATAAACTGCTAAATACCTTTTCTCATCAGCAGTTAGAGCAGTCTTGTGACTTCTATCAGTGTTCAGCAGGGCACTGGTTACAGCTTGTAGGAGGAGTTTTCTTTCTGCTCTAGGAGGATGCAAAACCCCTGACCTCTATCTGGACAGTGCTGATTGGAAGAGTGCATGTGATCAGCACAGGGCCAATCACATGCACTCTCCCAAGAAAAAAAAAAAAACCCCACTCTAGCAATACACACTAAGCTGAGCATGTGCAGAATGGCTACGGTTCATTCTGTCTTATCAGGAGATAAGATGTGGACATTTGAACAAGAGGAGGAGCAGAGAAGACAGGGTCAAATGGCTTTTTTACACAATGCAGAGGATATACCTCTTAGGTTCCACAATGAGTATAACAAGCATGCTTTATTGCATATACATACTGATTTTACAGTTGTGGGTTTAGTAACACTTTGCAAAAACTGTTGCAATTGACTACAGTTTTCTTTCTTTTTAATTTTTTTAGATCAAGCAGTGAAAAAAAAAAATGGAATCACTCAATTTGGAGTAAAATATTATGGCATCACCATGTACTTTGCAGTTCTAAAACAAACATCTGCACCAGATTACATCTGCTAATTAGTCTGTAGTTAAAAAAAAAAAAAAAAAAGAGTGCTTACACACCTTGTTGAGCTGTTGCACCAAGCTGAAAGCAATATGCCTTGAAAACAGAAAAATGTACAACAAAACAAATGAGGAACAAATGTGCAGAAATTGGAGTCAATGTCTGTGACCCTACTGTAAGGCTTGTCTAAAGGAAATGGAATTTACATACAGAAAAGGCAAACAAAAACCATTACTAACACCTAAACAGAAAAAACAAGGCTACAGTGGGCTAAAGAAAAGCAATCATGGACTCTGGATGACTGCATGAAAGTGATATTCAGTGATAAATCATGAATCTGAATCTGCATTGGGCAGGGTGATGATGCTGGAACTTTTGTTTTGTGCCCTTCCAATGAAATGGTTAAAGACAGTTGCCTGTGTAGTATATTGTGTGCAATGTATATGTATTGAAGACATTGAAACACATACTGTTCGTTTTTGGATAGGCCAGTGATAAGACCACTTTACACACCAAAAGGACACCTTAGTTAACATACTAAGGTGTCCTTTTGGTGTGTAAAGTAGAACAAACAAAGGGGACATTAACATATGTATGCAGGAGGTAATTATCTTCCCTTTGTTGTGTTGGGTTAACCTGTTTTGGGTAAATATATGGAGAGTCAGGGGAAGTTTAAGAGCAGGTTAGTTGCAAAGAGATTGGCAAAAGTCTTAAATATTCATGATGTGCTTGTTTATGGTGAAGAGAGCAGATTTGCCATAAACAAGACAAGTAGTATCTATTTAACTTTTTAATTAAAAGCTATGCACACAGCTATTCTAGGTCTAGACACATAAGATCAATCATGCTACTAAAAGTGGCCAATCAGAGTGCTTGGCATTGTACTGAATAGGGAAAATGTGTATATTGACACAGAACACAGGATGGAATACAAAGATAGCAGACCACACGTGAGGATACCTGGGCAGAGCATAAGGGATTGCTGCGATGTGATGCTTCATGATAATAAGACAACAGCCTGAAGAAAACATGAACATTTCCACATGATGTGGGGTTGCATGTCAGGTAAATGTACGGGGGAGATGACAGGCTATAAATCTTCAATAAATGCACAAGTTTATATTGAGATTTTGAACACTTTCTGTATTCCATCATTTGAAAGGATGTTTGGTGATGAGGACATTCTATCATTTTTCAGGATGATAATACATCTTGCCATAGGGCAAAAGCCATGAAAACTTTCCTTCAAGAAAGACATAGAATGTCAATGGCATGGCCTGCAAATATTCCGGACCTCAATCCAATTGAAAATCTGTGGTGGAAATGAAAAAAAATGGTCCAGGACAAGGCTCCAACCTGCAAAGCTTATCTGGCAACTGCAATAAGAGAAAGTTGGATTGATGAAGAATACTGTTGATAGTTAAATCCATGCCTCAGAGAGTTCAAGCTGTTATAAAAACCAGAGGTGGTGCAACAAAGTACTAGTGGTGTACTGCAGTGTTTTTTTCCCCACGATTCCATAATATTTACTGCAGAATTGAATGATTCCATATTTTTTTTCCTCTGCTTCATCTGCAAAGACAGTTGCAACTGACTACAGATCCCTTTCTTTTTATTTATTTATTTAGTGTCTCTTAAAGCCAGAAGGTTGGAATGTTAAATGAAGATAGTTTTGAGGCATGTCTGTGATTTAGTTTTTTTTCTACACAATTAAACAATTGACTGAACATTTTCCAAGAGTGGTGATGCCATACTTTTTACCAGGGGTTGTATGCAACATGGACACAGGTAATGGGAATGGAACTGCCCTCAGCAAGAGAAAGTACCAATGTGGACTTTTGGCAGGGCTCAAAAACACAAATATAACTACTATTCTACTTCTGTTTTAAGTATACATTCTAAATTATAGCAGATATAGAGAATATTTTTATATCTGCAAACAATCTGAAATAAAAAGTTAACAGTGCACGCTGTCAATGCATGCAGCTATGGAGCTTGTGGACTTTTCAGAAGGTCTCCCAGGCAGAATGAAGGAACTGGGATTCTTTATGACCTCTTGGTTTCAGCTATGCTGGCTGAAGAGCACAGAGGTCATGGGCTTTCCACACTTCCCTCTAAGTATCTCAGTATGCCCCTACATATGCAGAGGGGCAGAGACCATTATTACACAACACTGTGTCGCTTCCCCCAGTCCTGTACTCGCTTTAATATTGGCTGACAGATTCATGGCAAAGAATAAAAAACATTTTCCTACAAAGAAATCTTGTTAGAAAAAAAAAGAATACTACAATTTTTTTTTTCTAGTCTAAACTGTTAGTAACAGGATAGGGGTGATTTCTGCATTACCAACTTTACTTCTCACGTCTAATGCCACGATCACCAATTATACAATTATATATGACACATATCATGCCTCAAAGCTTAGGGTTTTATTATGGTTTGCTATTGTTCTATAGCTTTGTTTTGGCCTGCATCTAATGGTCAAACTACACTACCCTTTGTTACTGCATAAACTGGTTTAGCAGTGTTTTGAGCCCTGCAAATCTTCCATTCTCCTATGATCCCTCATTATGAAAAGGAAAGAGGTGCACCCCGAGAACCCCAGATGGCATTTTGAGGACTGCATGTGAACATTAATATGCATCCATTTGCCTTTTTGTGGTAGCATCATTGCTGAGCACATTAACTCTTTTATATATACATAGCATTTGCCAAGATGTGTGCATACATTATTAGAGAACAGAAGGCTTTAGTTGCGTGCCAAGCTGCACACAGGCCACAGGGTAATGTGTGGCAAGGACAGAATAACATGAACAAAATAAACTGAAAATACACATCAAATATTGGCTCAGAGGTAATCATTACTTTTACATGTGTCCCCTAATGCTTCCTGCACTTAAAATGCTTGGGTAGAATTTGATTTCTTTTTTTTTTAGATTATAATTTTCTATTTCAAAAAGTTCTCACTGAACAAACACCGTAAGCAAAAAAAAAACAAAGCATAACCTTCACAATTTACAGTTACTCACATATTTGAGAGTTTTTTTTTTTTTAAGTAAGAAGGATAAAGGAAGGACAGAAACAAAGACGGGAAGGGAAACACATTTTGCACAAATCCCACTAAAAGACAGGTTTTAGTTAGGTTACTCCATCAAAATACATAATGAGAAAAAAAAAAGAAAAAAAAACAGGCAGCACAGTGACCTAAATAAATCAAGAGAAGTCTTGGAGAAGATGAGAGCTATAGTAAAAAAAAAAAAAAATCATGCTGGAGAACCAGGTCTTTTTAAATTGCTCCTCTCTATTATAGAGGTAAGCAATCAAGTGTTCTGTTTTCATAAATTTCATTAATCCGGGTAAACCGCTGGGTCAAATTTGGTGAGGCAGTCTGCTTCCAAAGACTAGGAATGGTGGCCCTAGCTGCATTTATCAGGTGAATTAATAATGTTTTCTTATAATTTTCAATTGAAAAAAGGGGTTACCTGCAACAGATAAGCTAAAGGGGCATTGTCTAGATTGACTTCTGTAAACTTATAGCATACTATTTGGACTGAAGACCAGAAAGATGTAAGGACAGGACAGTCACAGAAAATGTGTAGGAGCGTTCCTCTGTGTTTTTCAGAGCGCCAACACACAGGAGAGACATGGGGAGGTCATTCTATTCAAAAGACTTGGGGCCCAGTACTATCTAGTGAGTAATTTATAGCCTGCTTTCTGAATTTTATTCTACACCTTATCCATTGATGAGCTCATCAACCCAAAATCCAAAGACAAGACCAAACGTTTTTTATGTATTTAGGTTCGTTCTGATCTAGCTAAACACTTACAGCATTCACAAAGGCCTTAGCTTCGTCTTGTTTGCAGATATAAGGACTTTCTTGTACTGTGGTATTAGTGCTAAGGAATAAAACCAAAAAAATGAATTTTAACAAAACACAGATACATGACAAATTATATGCCAATAGTAAGTATTGATTATATGGCCACCACATACTACCTTACAATAAGCATCAAAGTGGACTCAATATGTTTTGTTCATGCACAATGAGTAATTGCAACACTTACGAATATATATATATATATATATATATATATATATATATATATATATATATAGATATCACCTCTCGGAGATCGCAGTACTGCTACTGACAATGTTAACAGTTTTTCTGATCCCATAGTTTGAACAAATATACCATGGGTGTATAATGCGATGTGTCATGAATGTATTCATTCACACTTGTAAAGGTGTTAAGGTTCACATTCACTTTGATATTACAGTTGGAAACACATCAGAATAGCTGTACTTGTTGTGCACTTAATTAAAAAACGTAATTGCTTAAAAGTGGAATTCAAAACAGTTGCTCAAAAAAGTGGAACAGAAAAAAAAAATGAGAACAGCAGCCATCCTATTCTCCGATGGATGCAGTTTACTGTACATAGCCTATATTCATTCATCCAGGATACTACACACAGCGCTCTTGTTCCGGTGCTGTGTCTAAGAGTTCCAACTCTCATACAGTCCGGAGATCATGCCTTGTAGCCACCCCCTATCCATTCACAAAAAAGCTTAGAATCTGTTCACAGAATACAAGACATTATGTGAATGGATGAGGGCAGACCCTGTCATTTACCCACAAAACGTCTAGTATCCAAATTTAAAAAAAAAGGCACAATAGTTATCGGTCTTGATTGTGTCTTTATTCCAGTCTGTGAATTCAAGTGAAAATTGCTATGATGAAGAAAAATGTGATGCAATATAATTTACTGTAAGTTAGATAATAGCTTGAAGAAACTGATGACATTCCCAAGTCCCAGTTAAGATATAATTACACATTATTCTCTTAATATGAGAGTTAATTATTCTCCCTGGTAGCTCTTAGACATTTTAGTAAAGGTAAAGTATCTCACTGCCTCCTAGATAATCTTACTAATCCATTACAGCTTGGTAATAATAAATGATACTGTGCTTATTTAATGGTATAAAAGTTTCCTTATCCTGTTATATTATGAAGTTCAGGAGTCATTGTACAAATTGTAAGATCTTTACCAGAAAGAAAAAAATATTGCAAAGAAAAAGCAACATTTTACCTCTGTAATGGAAACAGAGCAGACATTTTTGTTTAATAACTGAATCCTGTTTACAGCTTTAAGAAAAAAAATTCAGATGGGTTAACAGACTGTGGTGTTATTCCTGTTTGAGTGTCATATCAAAAATCTTGAATGTCTCCTTTCATTAACGGGGACAACTACAGTTAGGTCCATATATATTTGGACATAGGCACAATTTTAAATTTTTCAGGTATTTAACAAAACATATTGAAGCTATAGTTATATAAAGGATATGGGCTGAAAGTGCACATTCTCAGGTTTAATTTGAGGGTATGTACATCCAAATTGGAAGAAGGGTTTAGGAATTACAGTTCTTGAGTAGCCATCCCCTCTTTTTCAAGGGACCAAAAGTAATTGGACAATTGAATCAAAAGCTGTTTCATGGCCAGGTGTGGGCTACTCCTTTTGTTATTTCTTCATCAATTAAGCAGGTAAAAGGTCTGAAGTTGATTCTAAGTGTGGTATTTGCATTTGGAATTTATTGCTTTGAACCTACATCATGAGTTCAAAGGAGCTGTCCATGCAAGTGAAAAAGGCCATTGTAAAGCTTAAAAAACAAAACAAATCTATCAGAGAGATAGCAGCAACATTAGGAGTGGTCAAATCAACAGTTTGGTACATTCTGAGGAAAGAAGAACACACTGGTGAGCTCAGCAACATAAAAAGGCATGGACATCCACAGAAGACAACAGTGGTGGATGATCGCATGATCCTCTCTATGGTAAAGAAAAACCCATTCACAACATCCAGACAAATGAAGGACACTCTCCAGGAGGTGGGCGTATCATTGTCAAAGTCTACAATTAAGAGAAGACTTTAGGAGAGCAAATACAGAGGGTTCACCACAAGGTGTAAACCATTCATAAGCCTGAAGAATAGAAAAGACAGAAGATTAGACTTTGCCAAAAAACATCTAAAAAAGCCGGACCAGTTCTGGAAAAGCATTCTTTGGACGGATGAAACTAAGATTAATCTGTACCAGAATGACAGGAAGAAAAAAGTGTGGAAAAGGCTTGGAACAGCTCATGATCCAAAGCACACAACGTCATCTGTAAACCATGGTGGAGGCAGTGTGATGGCATGGGCATGCATGGCTTCCAGTGACACTGGGTCATTGGTGTTTATTGATGATGTGACAGAAAACAGAAGCAGCCGGATTAATTCTGCAGTGTTTAGCGCTATACTGTCAGCCCAGATTCAGCCAAATGCAGCAAAGTTGATTGGACGGCACTTCACTGTACACATGGACAATGATCCAAAACACACTGCTAAAGCAACCCAGGAGCTTTTGAAGGAAAAGAAGTGGAATATTCTGCAATGGCGGAGTCAATCACCTGATCTCAACCCAACTGAGAATGCATTTCACTTGCTGAAGGCAAAACTAAAGGCAGAAAGAGCCACAAACCAAGAACTGAAGACAGCTGCAGTTAGAGCCTGGCAAAGCATCAGGAAGGAGAAAATCCAGTGTATGGTAATGTCCATGGGTTCCAGACTTCAGGCAGTCATTACCAATAAAGGATTCTCAACAAATATTAAAAATGAACATTTTATGATTATATTCATTTGTCCAATTACTTTTGGTCCCTTGAAAAAGGGGGGGGGTGGCTACTCTCAAGAGCTGTAATTCCTAAACCCTTCCTCCAATTTGGATGTACATACCCTCAAATTAAACCTGAGAGTGTACACTTTCAGCCCATATCAATTCTATAAATATAGCTTGAATATGTTTTGGTAAATACCTGAAAAAAACTAAAATTGTGCCTGTGTCCAAATATATATGGACCTAACTGTATGAGAGAATTACAATTTGTAGATAAAGCACATCTTCCTTGCAGGGTCACATACAGCATATAAAGCAGGGACACATATAAAGCAGGTTCTAACCTCTCACCACTCTCCTAAAATCTAAAAAAAAAAAAAAAAAAAGTTTGCTTTAAGGCAGATTTAAAAAAAAAAAAAAAATGTATCAATGCTTTTAATTTAAATATTGCAAAGAAACAGCAAAGTTTTACCTCTGTAATGGAAAACAGGGCAGAATTTTTTGTTTAAAAACTATGAATCCTGTTTACAGCTTTTAAGAAACAAATTCAGATGGGTGAACAGATTATTATGCCATTATGTCTGTTCTTAGATCTTTTTTCTAATGACTCATTTTTGTTCCTGCATAGCTTCTAGGCAGACAGCTCAGATGCATGCAATGTTACTGATTAGATATGAGAAAAATCCAATCTACCTGATAGCGCCTCATATGATGACAGTGCAAACGTACCCATACACACACTAAAATGATCTTTATTTTTCATTCTCCCATTCTCTGCAAGAGTTCTAAATTAAAGAATGTCTAAAGCCTAAACTTTTTTCCTAATTTTGGGTAGAGTAGAGGTAGGTTAAAACTCCTTTTTCACTCTGTCATCTGTGTCTCATTAGGAAGATTTCCCTTCACTTCCTGACGTGAAAACTTAACAGGACGTAAGATTGAGTGGCAAATCAAAAATCTTGAATGTCTCCTTTTATTAACGGAGACAACTATGAGAGAATTAGATTTTGTGGATAAAGCAGATCTCCCTTGCAGGGACACAGACAGCAGTAAAATCCTGACAGTGGTTCTAACTTCTCACTCCTCTTCTAAAATCTAAAAAAAGTTTTGATTTTAGGTATATTTTTACCAAAAAATTGTAACAATGCTTTTAAAAGTTAAATAACTGAATCCCCAACCAACCCATGATTTTCCTTCTAATACCTTCTCTTCACAGTGAACAGAAAGCGGTGTATTTCTGTAAAGCTGAACACTGGGGAAAGTAAATCCTGATTTCCTGTAGTGACCGTAGGTGGCGATCCCTGCTTTAAATCAATCATGGAATTCTATTATGAACCTTTTCAGTCCCACTCATAAAAAAGGTTTGTATGTAGTTGGAATGGAGAAATAAATAAATGTGACTTGCTGCAGCAGGTTCCATGAGGAATAAATGAGTAACAAACCAGGCTGCTGTGTGGGCATTGTGATATTGGGAAAATTTCCGATATAAACAAAATATAGCCTGCAATCAAAAGAATTCTGCCAGGATAGGGATATGGGTGCTGCTATTGCCCACTTGTTCTTGAAGGTGCATGCTCTATGCCAGTCATGCTAATCCTGGGCCAGCACAAGGAAGGGGGTGGGCAGGAGGGGCAGCTGTCCAAAGGAGCAGCAGTTTCATGTGAGGAAGGGGGGGGGGGCAGTCTGTGCACTGTTCTCAGAGGGACCCAGGTTTCGTTTTTCTAAAATACAAATATCCTGGGGTGTCCGTTGCATCTCAGTGCCGGCTGCAAACAAATTATGTACAGCGGTGCCCAGTACTTCATTCCAGGGTCCTTCTGATAGCAGTGCACAGACTGGCTAAGCGCACACTATTTTAACCAAGTGGGAGTGGAGGACTCCTTTAGCCAATAGGTCTACAGAGGTCTCTCTATACCTCCATCTTCTTACCATTGTCTATGGATGAAGCTGCTGTCTATAGGGGAGTGGTGGACTAGTGGGACCATTCACAAAACGCAGTGCAGCTCACGCATGCAAAATATAAAGCCAGCTGACTTCCCATAGTAAAGATGTCAACACCAGAAAACCAAAGAGCAGTGAAGAAACCATCTGGGTGAGGACTCCACTGGATCCCAGGACAGGGAAGTGTCCTTATATTAAAAGTCAGCAGCTGCAGTATTTGTAGCTGCTGACCTTTAATTTTTTTTTTTTTTTTTTGAGCCACTGAATATCCTCCAAGTATAAATGTTGCACTGTGTGATGGCTGGAGGGGTACACTGGAATTTTTAACTGATCTCAGACTACCGGGGCCAGCACTGTGACCCAGAGCAGGGCATCTGTAACTAAATAGTGGAGGGGCTGCTGTGATTAAAAGTGGGAGAGGAAAGTTGTTACGGAAGGGGGCACTGACAGAGAGTGATTGATGGGGGCGAGAAGCACTATGGCAGACTGATGGTGGTGACGCTGCGGATGAGGGAGGTGCTCTGGCCAATAGGGGGTGGTGCTGTGGCTGACCCTAAATCCAGGGAATCAAATACCCTACCCCATTAATCTCCAGGTTCCAACAAATACACTGGATGTTCTGTATGACATTTCTGTTTACTTGCTAAACATCAAACACTTGCATACAAGATACAAGAACATTGTCATGCAAATTTAGATTGATCAGAATCTTATGAGAATGTTGAGGACTGTGAAAACCCGACTTGATCTCACCTTAAAGTGTTTGTAACGGCTGAATGTTTTTTTACATTCTATGCATGAAGGTAGAAAACCTTCTGTGTGCAGCAGCTCCCCCAACCCCCTCGACACTTACCTGAGCCTCATCGCGATCCAGCAATGTGAATGACAGCCTCAGCTGCCCCAAGTCTCTGCCTTCTCATTGGCTGAGACAGCAAGCAGGAGCTGTTGGCTCCCGCTGCTGTCAATCACAGCCAGTCAGCCAACGAGGAGAAAGGGGCAGGGCAGCGAGTGCCCCCATAGCAAACTGCTTGCTGTGGGGGCACCTGTCAGACAGGAGGAGCCAGGACAGCCTGTAGGGGCCCGAGAAGAGTAGCATCTGGGCTGCTTTGTGCAAAACCACTGCATACAGTAGGCAAGTATAGAGATGTTTGTTATTTTACAAAAAAAAAAAAAAATTAACCTTTAGAATCACTTTAATATTACATTTATGTTTCACAGGAAAGGATCATTTTTTTTCAGTGTGTATTGTAATGAATTATATGAATAGTGAATATAATCGGCCGCACAAGAGCTTAGTTCTCATAAATGTGCTAAGTTGGCCACTACTGTGTAGATGTATGAATGTTCTGTGCTCTCTTGAACCCACCTCATAGTGCTGCCTTCTCTAGCCTTCTGTTCACACAGTGCCCCTCAGTTGGTTACTCCCTCATTCCCCCCCGCTGCTCCTCAATCATTCCCCCCACCGCTCCTCACTCAGTTGAGGTGGCCTGGCCTCAAGCTCATGAGTGAATTTGGTTTTGATTTAAGGAGGCCTATTTTGTTTTCAAATATTTTCCTTTAACAGCTCTAAAGATAAAAGTAAACTTGCTCTATACTTATAAACACACAGCCACATACCGATGGCATTGCTAATGGCTGGGTTTATTGCATAAAGCGCTGCAACAAATCTTCTCCTTGACACCACCCACCCTAATGCATTTCATCCATTAGGCAACCAGTAAATGAGTGGCGCTATATAAAAGTGACTAAGACAAATATATTTGTGCCCACACACTGTAAAAATGTGTACAATCCAATTCTTAATGCCACGAACAATAACTGTGCTTCTGACACATGTATGGTGCTCCAATAATAGTATCATAAGAAAGCAAATAGTGCCTCAAGTCCACGTATGATTGTACATTCCAGGGCACAGGTAACATGGTTTATTTTACACATTAGGGCCTAATCTAGAACTATGATTAAAGGATAAGTTTACCTTTCATAACATGTTACATGTAACAGCTATATTCTGGGTGTAACATGTAATGAACGGAGCAGCCCCTGCTCCCCAGCTCTGACAGTTATTAGGGGATCTTCGCTCCCGACGATCTGTCAAAATTTTACAAAGATTATTTTTTGAAAAAGAAAAAGTCCTGGCAGCCTTAGCAGCTGTCAATTTGTAGTTCTTAATGAACTACCACAGCACTGTGGTAGTTAATGGATTCTTCCTATCAGTATATCTGCTTGGCTGTACATCCCATACGGGAAAGCAGATGTACTGACAGGTCTGCAGGAGAACTGCATGGCACCAACGATCTGCTGATGTTGGGGCAGGAAGTCTTGAGGTGGAGATTTGTTGTAGCGGCTTTATGAAATAAACCCAGCTTTTGGTGAGGCCCTCGGTGTGGCTGGCTGTTTTTTCTGTGGTACACTTGGAATGTAGACAGCTCCTTCCTGGCCAGGCACCCGCCCTACTCTCAGGCCTTAACAGGAATATTCCCTTGGGAGTGGAGGATCTTTACAAGTGATTGAATCCTACTCCACTTGTTTTACCTGCCCTTTAAAAGACTATAGTGATTCTTGTACTGTAGAGTAAGTTACCCAGAAAAGTAATGTAATGAATACTGAAACATATGGGACACACATCCCAATCTTCAACTTATGCAGCAAGATATTACAATACAGCTTACTTTCTTCCATTCATTTAAGATAAAATCTCATATATGATTTTTCTGTTGCTGGCAAGACAAACAGAGGTGCCTCATATCTTAATATTAATGCATTAAAAGCCTAACAGGGCAGATGTTTGATTTGGAATTTAAAGCAGAAGGAGATATGAAATAATTCATGCCTGGCGAAAAAATAAAATCAAACTGATCCTAATGGAAGCCACTCCATTCTAGGTAATCTTTGATCATAAGAAGTACATGCATCGTGATTGTATGATCAGTACTCACCAGTTGATTTCCCCTCCATCTGACTTTTTGGTTACCAGTGCCTTCCAGTGAGCATGGGTACATTTAATCACATCTATTGCAAAAGCCTGCATGAAAAAAAGCCATTCGTCATAAGGTGCCATCAAAAGCATTTAAACAGCCAAGTACATTTACTTCTATCTTCAAAGTATAATTACTTTCCAGATTATGGAGAGAAGCCATCATTACATTCCAATTATGTTCAATATACAGTCTTACAGCATTGACTATTCAGTAAGGCTGTTATAAATCAAACACTACTTACACAGAGGATACTGGTCTCATCAATAGCTTGGCAGCCATTTCAGAATGTTATTTCAATGGAATCACTTGTCATTTGTACCTATTACTCACACATTCCAACAAACCCTTTTATCTGTTTGCTGTGATGTGGCAGGCACAAAACTTACCTTATTTTTAAATTCTGCATCAAAAGCGAACTGGTTCTCTGGTTTTCCATCAGGAACTTTGTACCGTCTAAACCAGTCGACTGTGGATTCCAAATAATTGGGTTTCAGTCTTCTGACATCTTCAATGTCTAAAGGAACATAACAAAGCCTAGTTATTATAGTAACATAAATCTAATGAGTACAGCCATTACATTTGATTCATGCGAATGTATTGATGCTACGGACTATTATTTAAGGACTCCTGGGGCAGGAAATTAACAAGAAGTGTCTTCCATTGTGTAAAAGAGACTTAACCACTTCCCGTCTGGCCCATGTCTATAACCGGCTGGTCGGGAGTGCTGCCGAAGCGGGTTGCCATTTCTAAATGTCACCTGCAGTCACTGCCTGTGCGCAATCCGTTGCCCAGCAGAACACCGATCGCTGTATGGGACCTCTGTGTGAGGTCCTGATTCATGTGATCACTGATTGGCCAATCAGTGATCACATGAACAGTAGTAAACAAGATGTCACTTCCTGACATCATTGCTTACTACTTGTGAAATCTGTGAATGATCAGAGATCACATGGTACAAGGCTAGGTGGCAGTATGTTAAAAAAAAACAAATAATATAATAATCAAAAAAAAAATATAAAAAAACCCATTATATATTATATATATATATATATATATATATATATATATTATATTTTGGTTATAAACTAACTTGGGGTTTTTTTTTTTTAATAAAAAGATAGCTGAATACATTTTGGCCAAAATGTATGAAGAAAGATTATTTATTTGCAAAATTAAAAAAAAACACTTTTTTTCCCCCAAAATGTTTGGATTTTTTCATTTATATAGCAAGAAAATAAAAATCCCAGTGGTGAATAAATACCAAAGTAAAGTTTTATCTGTCTCAAAAAAATGCTAAACAATTCATATGGGTACAGTGTTGCATGACCGCGCAATTGTCATTCAAAGTGTGATAAAACTGAAAGCTGAAAATTGGCCTGGACAGGAAGGAAGTGAAAGTGTCCGGACTTGAATGATTGTAAAAGGTTTTTTTTTAAAATAACAAAACATATCATACTTACCTGTTCTGTGCAATTGCTTTGCATGGAGCATCCCTGAACCTCCTCTTGGGTCCCGAAAGTGTCCCGGCTCCTCCTCCTTTCTTAATGTACCCATAGCTAGCCGCTTTCTATGGGGGCACTCATGCAGGCTTACTCCCAAGCCAGGCTATGCATGTCCATTGACACACACAGCATATCTCAGTCCCCTCCCCCAGGATTTGATCGACAGCAGCAGGAGCCAATGGCCATCACTGCTGTCTGCATGTCCACTGAAGAGAGAGCGAGCTTCTGCTCTCGGGCACAGTGCTGGATCGAGATCTGTCCTAGGTATGTATTTAGGGTGGCTGATCACAGAAGGTTATTTACCTTACTGCAGAGAATGCATTAAGATAAAAACCTTCTGCCTTTACATCCACTTTCATGTTCTTGTTGCCTTTAGAAAAATATTAATTGGGACATTTTTTTCTCACAGCTGAATTAAAAGGGGATAATTAAAGAGGAACTCCAGGCAGATATAAAAAGACACATGAATGCAGATATATGTTATTAATCAAGTTCATTTTTTTAAAATTGCAACTAGACTAACCACCTGAATTTGACTTATTATCAGTATTTTGCAATCCCTTACACAGCAACAGACAGAGAGGGGGGGGAGGGCAAGATTGGGAGCCCATCATATGTGCTGTATGCAAATGTGCTTAACGCAGAACATGCTGACAGAAGGAGAGAGCAGAGTAAGCATAGAAATGGCCTCATTCTCCTGCTGTTATTTTACTGTTCAAGCAGCAGACTGGAATTGGAAAGAGAACAGTTCCTTCTAACAGAAAAAGGGGTGTCATCTGCCTTTCCATGCTGTGTGATGGGACTGTGTAAATCTCAAAACTGAATGGAGAGAAATACAAATCCTATGCCAGGAAGAACAGCCCTTTTTACATATTTTATCTGTGCAGTTTGGGGTTTCTCTACAGCTCACATTTTAACAATAATTTACCATCATAAAATGTGAAAAATAATGTAAGAAACTGAAGAGTAGAAAACAGTACCTTTGAGCCATCAGCTCCATTCTATAACCTGCTTTAGAGAAATGGCTAACACAACATTGTTGGCTTGCTGGCTGAGCAGACATTCTACTTTTCCTTTGTACAGTGTGTGTATGTGTGTGTGTATATATATGTGTGTGTGTGTGTGTGTGTGTGTGTGTGTGTGTGTGTGTGTGTGTGTATATATACAGTTGCAAGAAAAAGTATGTGAACCCCTTGGGATTACGTGGAGTTTTGAATGAATTGGGCATAAAATGTGCTCTGAATGTCATCTAAGTCACAACAATAGAAGAACACAGTCTGCTGAAACATAATACTACACAAACATTAGATGTTGCCATGGTTTAATTGCACATAACATGTAAACATTCACAGTACAGGGAGGAAAAAGTATGTGAACCTTTGGACTTAATAACTGGCTGACCCTCCTTTGGCAGCAATAACCTCAACCAAACGTTTCCTGTAGTTGCAGATCAGACCTGCACAACGATCTGGAGTCATTTTGGATCACTCCCCTTGACAAAACTATTTCAGTGTAGCAATATTCTTGGGATGTCTGGTGTGAATCGCTCTCTTAAGGTCATGCCACAGCATTTCAATCGGGTTGAGGTCAGGACTCTGACTGGGCCACTCCAGAAGGCGTATTCTGTGCTATTGCAGCCATTGTTTTGTTGAATTACTTGTATGCTTTGGGTCATTGTCCTGTTGCATCACCCATCCTCTGCGGAGCTTCAGTTGGCGGACAGATGGTCGTACTTTTTCCTGCAAAATGTCTTGATAAACTCTGGAATTCATTTTCCCATCAATGAAAACAATCCGTCCAGGCCCTGAGGCAGCAAAGCAGCCCCAAACCATGATGCTCCCTCCGCCATGTTTTACAGTGGGGATGAGGTTTTGATGTTGGTGTGCTGTGCCTTTTTTTCTCCACACATAGTGTTGTGTGTTCTTCCCAAACAACTCAATCTTGGTTTCATCTGTCCACAGTATATTTTGCCAGTAGTGCTGTGGAACATCCAGGTGCTCTTTTGCAAACTTCAAACGTGCTGCAATATTCTTTTTCTGGACAGCAATGGCTTCCTCAGTGGTGTCCTCCCATGTACTCCATTCTTGTTTAATGTTTTCCTTATTGTAGATGTGTCAACAAAAATGTTAGCATGTGCCAGAGATTTCTGTAGGTCTTTAGCTGACACTCTGGGATTCTTCTTTACCCCATGCAGCATTCTGCGCTGTGCTCTTGCAGTCATTTTTACAGGACGACCACGCCTAGGGAGAGTAGCAACAGTGCTAAACTTTCTCCATTTGTAGACAGTCTGTCTTACCGTGGACACATGAACATCAAGGCTTTTGGAGATACTTTTGTAACCCTTTCCAGCTTCATGCAAGTCAACAATTCTTGATCGTAGGTCTTCTGAGAGCTCTTTTCTGCGAGGCATGGTTCACATCAGACAGTGCTTCTTGAAACCAGTAAACCCAAAACAGGTGTGTGTTTTTTTAAGGGCAGGACAGCTGTCAGCAACACATCCAAGATCATCACACGGATTGGCGTCAAGGTTGGCTCACTCCTGGCTCCAATTAGCTCTGGGAGAAGTCATTAAGCTAGGGCCTCACATACTTTTTCCTCCCTGCACTGTGAATGTTTACATGTTATGTGCAATTAAACCATGGCAACATCTAATGTTTGTGCAGTATTATGTTCAGCAGACTGTGTTCTTCTATTGTTGTGACTTAGATGACGTTCAGAGCACATTTTATGCCCAATTCATGCAAAACTCCACGTAATCCCAAGGGGTTCACATACTTTTTCTTGCAACTGTGTATATATATATATATATGTATATATGTATATATGTATATATATATATATATATATATATATATATATACACACACACACACATACTCACTCACATATATACATACATACATATACACTCCCATAAATGTGTGCCTTTGATTGCAAACAAGATTTGTTAAGTTGCACACACAAATCAGTATTTTTACCTAACAAATTCATTCAAGACCATGTTGCAAAAATGAATACACCCCAATGAAAGTCTTAAAGTGTTACTAAACCCAGGACCCTGCATTTATTTAATATTTATTACAGGTACTTATATAGCGCCGTCAATTTACGCATCGCTTTACATATATATTGTACATTCACATCAGTCCCTAACCCTCAAGGGGTGTACAATCTAAGGTCCCTAACTCCCATTCATACATACACATACTAGGGCCAATTTAGACAGGAGCCAATTAACCTACCAGCATGTCTTTGGAGGGTGGGAGGAAACCGGAGTACCCGGAGGAAACCCATGCAGGCACAGGGAGAACATGCAAACTCCAGGCAGGTGGTGCCATGGTTGGGATTCAAACCAATGACCCTAGTACTGCCAGGCGGAAGTGCTAACTATTTAGCCACTGTGCTGCCCAATCTGGTCTCCCACAGTACACAGAACATGGAAATGCAATTATTTTAGTGAATATAAACTACTTAATACCTTTTCTCATCAGCAGTTAGAGCAGTCTTATGACTTCTATCAGTGTCCAGTCGAGCACTGGTTAAAGCTTGTAGGAGGATTTTTCTTTCTGGTCTAGGAGGATGCAGAACCCCTGACCTCTAACGGCAAGTACCGTTCTCCTGGCAACCGCCAACCCAGACATGTCCATCGGATTGCCAGACAGAGAAGTGTGATTCATCACTCCAGAGAACACAACTCCACTGCTCTAGAGTCCAGTGGCTGCGTGTTTTACACCACTGCATCCTATGCTTTGCATTGCACTCGGTCTTGTAAGGCTTGGATGCAGCTGCTCGGCCATGGAAACACATTCCATGACGCTCTCTATGCACTGTTGTGTTAATCTGAATGCCACACAAAGTTTAGAGATCTTTAGCTATTGACTCCGCAGACAGTTGGCAACTTCTGCACACTGGGCACTTCAGAATGCGCTGATCCCACTCTGTCATTTTACATGGCCTACCACTTCATGGCTGAGTTGCTGTTGTTCCCAGTGGCTTCCACTTTGTTATAATACCACTAACAGTTGACCATGGAATATTTAGTAGCAAGGACATTTCACGGATGGACTTATTGCACAGTTGGCAACCTATCACGGTACCATGCTTGAATTCACTGAGCTCCTGAGAGCGACCTATTCTTTCACAAATGTTTGTAGAAGCAGTCAGCATGCCTAGGTGCTTGATTTTATACACCTGTGGCCATGGAGGTGACAAACACCTGAATCCAATGATTTTGAGGGGTGTCCAAATACTTTTGGCAATATATTGTGATAGCTGCTTATACTGGATGAAGTAGTACATTTTTGCTACCATAAACCACAGGACTTCTTGCTGTTGTTAAAGACAGGGGTCACAATGGTTAGTATTTCAAAATCCTGGAAGTTTGGCCGAGTAGGTTCCAACTGGGAAAGTAATTGCTAGTATCAGTAGTTTTGAATGCTTCCAGGATTAATACTAAGAGTGACATTTTCTAGGTTAATTAGTTTTAGATAAACCAGTGGTTTGAACAGATCATATGGATGTTCAGTGGAGGAGTTCCAGAAACGTCCAGCTGAAGGGACAATATTTGCTCAAGAATCCCTTGGCACCCTTTGAAAAGTACTGCCTGTTTCAGTGGCCAAATAAAGAGAAAGTATGAACTGGCTATCTCAGTCTATCATCTTCCTAGATTAAGTGAAATGAAAATTGTGGAAATTTGTGCAAATTGCCAATACATTATTACCATGAACGTAAACTGGCAGAAAAAAAAAAATCAACAATTTATCTGTATCACTTACCATTGAAATGAGAAGCTTCAGGATCTTCAATATTAATGGCAATAATTTTCCAATCTGTTTCTCCTTCATCGATCAATGCCAAAGTGCCAAGTACTTTAACCTTGATGACCTCCCCTCTTTCACATACCTATTAAATAGAAATCATATATAATCCAGCTTCATTGCAGCAGGTAGTTCCTAATCCAGGTTTATGTGGGGGTATTTATCAAAACCAGCACTAGGAGGGATCAGTTATCGGATACTTCCCTCAGTCTGAGGCTTGGGTACAGGTTGGTCTGTTTAGCGTTGTTATGAGGACGATTATGAGATGAGAGAAGAGAGTTGTTAACAGATATTTCCTTGTCCATTGCTCATGGAACAAAATCTAACCATTTTAGCAATGATGGCTGTTTTTGTGATATATTACCAAAGAGCCCTAGAAACTTTAGACATGCAGCAGAAGATGGTCAAAGATGATAGGCTTGCTATAAGAGATGGTCGGAGACTGCAGACATGTTATACTGTAGGCAGGGGTGGGACTGACAACTCATGGGGCCCCCGGGCAATAAGGGATCATGGAGCCCCTGTGTCCTTGCCCAAACTGAAAAAAGCCTATGAAAAAGGTATCAGGGGCATCTCATGGGGCACCCTACTGACCCCGGGGGATCATGGGGCCCCTGTGACCTTGCCCAAACTCAAAAAAGCCTATGAAAAAAGGTACCAGGGGCATCTCATGGGGCCCCCTACTGACCCCGGGCCCTCGGGCAGTGCCCGAGTTTCCAAATGGTCAGTCCACCCCTGACTGTAGGAGTTGTTGAAAAATGGGAACATGCTTAAGAAGAAAGAGTGTTATATTACACACTACATAAATCTGCAAAAAATCATTGCTATTACAGGGAAATAGAGAAACACATCAACTGCCTGCAGAGGTACCAAGATGCCAAAGGGCCAACATGTGGCCCCTAAATTGCAGGTTGTACACTAGGGATCTATGGCCAGACTAATATTAATCTGGGGCATTTCAAATGAATGTACTTTATACATTTTATTCAGCACTGTTATCCAGCAAGCTATATCTATATATTCAAATTGCTCACATAGCCTTGGGCAATGTAAGTGATAGTGATTAAATGCTTAACATCCGTCTGTATATATTTACAAACATTGCTAAAAGTCTACTTTGCAGTCAAAACAGATTTAAACACAAAAGCTAGGAAAAGGAAAATCACAGTAGTCACAAATATTTATTTAGGAAGTCATGCTATCAAGAATCCTATATTCAGCACGTATCTGACATTTCTATATTTCATACCTTGCTCCCAATGTCACAAATATCGATGGGGTCATTATCTCCTCCAAAACCTGTATTTTCATCAACATGTGATGGATTTTCCCAGGTCTAAAAATAAGAATAATACAAATAAGTGTTGGTTAGTGTTGGTGTAAAGGACTAAAAATGGTTTCTGCATTCTCCATCACCTTCATGATAGAGAAAGATAGAAGCAGCCTATGTCATAATATGAATCTGAAATATTGATGAACTGTATGGGGAAGAGGAATTGACCATAAAGGAGCTCAGTTTTCATTTAAAGATTTACCACATATCACATTTTTTTTTAATAATGTGAGGTGAAAGGGTATCGGTATCTAATATTTTGTACTACCCTAGCTGTCTTTGTTTCTACAGCATTTAATTATAAATGCATCTACATTAATGTACTGAACTCAGCAGCATTTCCACTCTTGTAGGTAGCATTACATCAAATTGAAAACTCAGATTAGATATACTGTATGGTTTTTATCGGTATTTGGCATTTCACCTAACGATATGAATTTTAGATTATTTTAGACTTCGTGATGTTAACCATTGTTTGTTTGATTTTCATTTTTGTCCTATTAAATTAAGAAAAAAAAAAATTGGCAACCACTTAACCTCTTCATGCCGGCCGAACGCAAATGTGCAACCTCCTGGCATCTGGGCCTAGACGCCGAGCAGCCGCACATTTGCGTTATATTAAAAAAAGACATATGTGCTGAGAGCGCGCGCCCTGCGCGCTCCCAGCGCACATGTCCGGTACTTACGGAAAGGTCCCGATCTCCTCTTTTGATTGGGACCTTTCCCGATCATGTCACCACCATGATGCGTGTCACAGAGGTCACATAACCCTAAACCCCGCCCCCGGCTTCTGAAACCCTTAAAGGGCAGGGAGGCGCAGGCGCGAAGGGGTTAATCGGAATATCAATGCCCATAATAGAATTCTGTTCACCGATCGTTCATTTGATCACTGATCTACAATGTACAGTAATTTTATCATTGCTCAAAAATACTATAGCAATATATGAATTTAGAATATCAAGATCCACATTCATTCTTTTGTCTGTAGGGACCCTGCCCTGTGCTGTTGTGTCCCTAATTAAAAGTGGTTGTAAAGGCGCAAGGTTTTTACCTTCGTGCATTCTATGTATGAAGGTATAAAACCTGTGTGCAGCAGTGCCTCCAGCCCCCTCAATACTTACCTGAGCCTCATCGTGATCCAGCGATGTGTACAACAGCCTTGGCTGTCCCGGGTCTCTGCCTCCTCATTGCCTGAGACTGCAAGTGGAAGCCATTGGTTCTTGCTCAAAAAGGGTAAGTGAGCGCTGGAAGTCACTACAGCTGCTGAAACACCAAAAGGCACCAAGTAACCTCCAAAACAACAATATAAATAAAGGGTGCAGCGCTTAAAATGAAGATAATCAAAATATTTGATGTTGCATACAATGTGAACATAAATAATATATGAATGACTTATAATAAAGTGCAAATAAATAATGTGTCAAACAATATTTGTCACTATACGTGACCAAAAAAGGTGCATAAATAAAGTGCAAAGGACTCAATAATAGCCATATAAAAAAATAGATGTGTCACTCCATCGTGAGCACACGTGTATATAATGTGATAGAGGAAAACATATAGTCCAAAATTAAACGTGAATAAATCCAAATATATAAGGTGCATGGAAGAGCACAAGGATTTCCGACAACTGGTGATATTATCCAGTAGGTGATGTGTATCCAAACTTATAAAAACTGCGCACTCACCAGATGCGCAATCAGTAAGCGCATTTAAGAGATAACACTCTTGGTGAGAACGTTGGAAGCTCCTCTGGAATGCGGTCTGGTCTGCTGCCTCTCACTGCTCAATCAGCTGTCTGATTGGTTTCTATGCAGCAGGGAGTCTGATTTTGGACTCTCCAGCTTTAGTAAATAAACCCCATTGAGTCACATTATTTATTTGCACTTTATTATAAGTCATTTATATATTATTTATGTTTCACATTGTATGCAACATAAAATATTTTGATTATATTCATTTTAAGCGCTGCACCCTTTATTTATATCATTTGGCTCTTGCTGCTGTCGATCACAGCCAGTCAGCCAATGAGGGGGATTTTGGGGGGCCAAGAAATGGCTCTGTGTGTGAATGGGCACACGGAGCAGCGGGTGCCCCCATAGCAAGCTGCTTTCTGTGGGGGCACCCGCCAGAAGGGAGAGGCCAGGAGAGCCTGCAGGGGACCTGAGAAGAGGAAGATCCAGGCTGCTCTGTGCAAAACCACTGCACACAGCAGGTAAGTATAACATGTTTGTTATTTTCCAAAAAAAAAAAAAAAATTAACCTTTAGAATTGCTTTAAATTTAGTCTGTTTTTCTGAACTCTGCATGTCTTCCCTAGGCTGAGTGTGGTGATCGCTTCTGTCTGTTCTTCTAAATGTGGTTCCAGTATGGGAAGAACAATCATTTAGTTATGAATACATACACACTGTGTGCACAATTATTAGGCAAGTTGTATTTCTGAAGATTCATTTAATTACAAAACAACTACAGTGCTATTGGTCAATCCAAAATGTTAATACCTGAATATTTCAGAAGTAAAAGTGAGGTTTTGGCTTTCTTAGGAAAATGTCTTTGTGCACAATTATTATGCAAGTAAATGAAAAATTTTCCGATCTCACTTGTTGATTTTCATCTGTTAACCACTTGCCCTCCAGAGGATTTACCCCCCTTCCTGACCAGGCAATTTATTGCGTTACAGCACTGCGTTACTTTAACTCACAATTGTGAGGTCATGCAATGCTGCACCCAAACAAAATGTATGTCCTTTTTTTACCCCACAAATTGAGCTTTCTTTCAGTGATATTTGATTGCCTGTACGTTTTTTTTATTTTTTGTGCTATAAAAAAATTTTTTTTTTTTACTTTTTTGCTTAAACATTGAGAAAAAAAATATTTTTGACTTTTTGCTTAACCACTTGAGCTCCTGAGGATTTACCCCCCTTAATGACAGGCCTTTTTTTGCTGTTTGGCGCTGCACTAATTCAAATGATAATTGTGCGGTCATGCAATGCTGTACCCAAACAAAATTTACGTCCTTTTTTTCACACAAATAGAGATTTCTTTTGATGAAATTTTATCATCTGTGCGCTTTTTATTTTTTGCGCTATAAACAAAAAAAACAAATTTTGAAAAAAACCCAATATTTTCTACTTTCAGCTATAAAAAATATATCGTAAACTCAGTTAGTCATAAATTTAAGCCAAAATGTATTCTGCTACAAGTTTTTGGTAAAAAAAAATCCCGTGCATTAGCGGGCAAACTGGCGCTATATGGGAGGGGCGCTAACACTATCGGAAGTCACCGGTGACACTAATACAGTGATCAGTAAAAATCTGTTCATTGTAATCAATGACACTGGTGACAGGGCAGTGAAGGGGTTAACTGGGGTGGGGGGTGATCAAGGGGTTAAATGGGATTACTGGTGTACTGGCGGGCAAACTGGCGCTATCTGGGAGGGGCGCTAACACTATTGGAAGTCGCCAGCGACACTGATACAGTGATCAGTAAAAATCTGTGCACTGATCAATGACACTGGTGACAGGGCAGTGAAGGGGTTAACTCGGGGGGGGGGGGCGATCAAGGGGTTAGACGGGATTACTGGTGTATTAGCAGGAAATTTGGCGCTATCTGGGAGTGGCGCTAACACTATCGGAAGTCGTCAGCGACACTGATACAGTGATCAGTAAAAATCGAATCACTGATCAGTGACACTGGTGACAGGGCAGTGAAGGGGTTAACTGAGGGGGATTAAGGGGTTAAACGGGATTACTGGTGTACTGGCGGGCAAACTGGCGCTATCTGGGAGGGGCGCTAACACTATCGGAAGTCGCCAGCGACACTGATACAGTGATCAGTAAAAATCGATTCACTGATCAGTGACACTGGTGACAGGGCAGTGAAGGGGTTAACTGGGGGGGAAGGCGATCAGGGGGTTAAATGTGTCCTAGGTGTGTTCTAACTGTGGGTATGTGCTGTTTTACTCCCTGTTTGGATGTCTTTTTCTCTGTCTGGAACCGAATGTGTCCAGGCAGAGAAGAATGACATCATATCCTGTCCTGTGTAAATGTCAACACAGGACAGGATAGGACAGGGACCGATCATCTGATTTCAGCCAGACATTACTGGCTGAAATCTAATGATTGATCCCTCCGGGATCGAATGGTGTCACCCGCGTGTCGGCGGGAGCGCGCGTGCGCGCGCCCCCTGCCGGTGAAAACGTCGGGAGCGCAGAACCCCAGTGCCGCCCTGCACACGTGGTTTTGCGCCCCAGTGCCGCCCTGCACACGTATATATACAGTGGCAGGGCGGCAAGAGGTTAAACATGTCCAGTAAAAAAAAAAAATCGAAATTTAGGACAAAATGTATTCTGCTACATGTCTTTGCTAAAAAAAAATCCCAGTACTTGTAAATTAATGGGTTTACGTGAAAGTTATAGAGTTTACAAATGGCGGTATATATAATGGCAGCTATCAACGACTTATAGTGGGACTACGGTGGGCATTCTGACACTCGAGGGGAACTGACTTGGTGTCACGGACATCCCCAGTGACACCAATACAGTAATCAGTGCTAATAAAAAGCACTGACACTGTACAAATGGCACTGGGCAGGAAGGGGTTAACATGTGGGGCGATCAAAGGGTTAACTGTGTGCTGTTTTACTCTGTGTTCTGTGTTAGTGCTTCACTGTAAGCACACTGCTTTGCATGGCTGTGCACAGCCATGCAAAGAAGTGTGCAGGAGCTGACAGGGAGGAGAACTGTTTTGTTTACTTATAGTTCTCCCCCCATTGGAGATCCTTGGCAATCACTCGGTGCTGGTGAGTGATCACCGACTGGGACCTGGTGATTGACGGTCATGAATGGCGGCGTGGGTAGGGTGTGCACGCGCCCCCCTTCCCGGAAATGCAGAATCACGTATATATACACATGATTTTGCGCACAGCTGCCGTCCTGTAGCAGTATTTCTGATATGGGGCGGGGCTGAAGCAGTTAAAATGAGAATAATAAACAAAAAACTCGCAA